ACATGTCTATCTTGCCTACCTAAATGTAAACCCATGGGAGTGGGCTGAGACTCAGGGTGGTATATCTTTAGACATTTCACATTACAGTACTATGTACTGCACTGCCTTGTACCCTATAAACGCTTGATGAACTGAACGAATTCCTACCATTGCAAAAGTTCAGAAAGGGAAAAAAAAAAGTAAAAAGTAAATATCAATGAAACACCTCAATAGCCAGTTACAGCAAATGGTGCTCCTAACTTCATATTTTATCCCTGAATCATAGTGCTCCTAACTTCATATTTTATCCCTGACTCATCCTATCTGTGATTGCAAATATGATTACTATACTTCAATGAAATGCTCAGATATAGGAAGGAAGTCTTAAGAAAAACTGTGCATAATAGGGAAAGCTGGGGGCTATGACCACAGCTATCTAAATCCCAAGATTTTAATATAGGTGACAGTAATTCAGAGTTTAAGGGCAGGGAAAGGGGAATAATGATGACTATGGGAAAAGAGAAGGAACTACTGTGTACTAGAGATCTACTATATGCAAAGCACCTCTTATTTATTCTGTTATCTTTAGGATTTTTTTAACAAAAACAGTCATGGTTAAATTTGATGAGGTTACACCCTTTTCAGTTAATTGTATTCACTATCTATAAAACATCTCCCAGCATTTTGTAATGAAACAGACTATTTTGTCCAAGAAATTAAGCTAGACACATTCCTGTTGCTATCCTACACACCCTCTTCTGAACAATAAACCCAAAGCATCAAAAGGCTAATTATTGGGGCACCTGGGTGGCTCAGTCATTAAGTGTCTGCCTTCGGCTCAGGTCATGATCCCAGGGTCCTGGGATCGAGCCCCACATCGGGCTCCCTGCTCAGTGGGAAGCCTGCTTCTCCCTCTCCCCCTCCCCCTGCTTGTGTTCCCTCTCTCTCTGTGTATCTCTCTGTCAAATAAATAAATAAAATCTTAAAAAAAAAAAAGATGTGGTGCGTGTGTGTGTGTGTATATGAATATTTCTCAGCTATAAAATATTATAAAATATAAAATTTTATAAAAATATTTCTCAGCTAAAAAATATTTCTCAGCTATAAAAAGAATTTGGAAGGACATGGATGGAGCTAGAGAGTATTATGCTAAGTGAAGTAAGTCAGTCAGAGAAAGACAAATACCATATGACTTCACTCATATGTGGAATTTAAGAAACAAAACAAACAAATATGGGGGTAAAAAAGAGAGGAAAACCAAGAAACAGAATCTTAACTATAGAGAACAAACTGATGGTTACCCAAGGGGAAGTGAGTGGAGCAATGGGTTAAATAGGTGATGGGTATTAAGGAAGGCACTTGTTATGAGCACAGGGTATTGTATGTAAATGTTGAACTACTAAATTCTAAACCTGAAACTAATATTACACTGTATGTTAAGTAATTGGAATTTAAATAAGAACTTGGGAGAAAAATTAATAAATAAAAGTACCAATTACAGTATAATATGATATGATATAATATGCAATTTGAAAACTATAATCAATTCCTCCTTCAGGAAGCAAGCACTCTCTCACCAAAAAACAACCAACCAACCAACTAAATGCATACTATAATGTACATAGCACTAACTCATGAAAAGTTCACTTTACTACATCCGGCTGTTCTTTATAACCCTTACCCAGGAATGCCCATTACCCAATCACACCTCAAGTAACATTCCCTCATCTTGACAAAATCCGGTCAAGAGCTAAAATTGTGTCTTCCTGTGGGGTGATGCTCTTTGAAGTCCCTATTCCTAGTATACCTAATTGAGACAGTCCCTGCAAGAGCTTTCACAACCAAAGCTTCTTGCTTATCCTATTTCCCTTCTCCCAAGAACCTTCTTCCCAATAGCCAAAAGAACCCATATTTCCCCTCTTAAGGCCAATTTTCCACCTCTCACTGGGACGAAGCTAGTTCTTATTTCGAACCTCCAACACATTTTCCCACAGGACAATTTTACAAATAGTGGTTAGGCTCTTCATCATTATAACTCCCTATTGCGTGCCCTGGTCTAAAAATGTAACTGTTAGTAACTGTTTCCGGTGAAAAAGCATGTTCAGCGTCTCAAACAACCAATCCTCACACTTCTGAATAATTCAGAGGTTAACAACTGCCCATGAAACAAGACAAGTAAAAGATACTGAAAAAGACTCCACAGTATATAATAGAGCACATAATCTTTAATTTTACCAGGATTCAACACACACAAAAACTGACAGAAATCACTTTCTTTGACACTGAAGTTAACACATTCTCACTCACATTTTCTTTAAGGATTCCAACACATTTTCAAAAAATATATTCTACAATGAAAGTACCTAAGGTCCTAAAAACTATCATGATTGGGGCTGCAAAGCTCATGCTGAAGGGTTAACATTTCTAAAGCCAACATGAACAAACATGTAATTAAAAGTCAGTCGGAGAAAAACAAATATCATATGATTTCACTCATATGTGTAATTTAAGAAACAAAACAGATGAATATAGGGGAAGGGAAGGAAAAATAAGATGAAATCAGACAGGGAGATAAACCATAAGAGACTCTTAACTATAGGAAACAAACTGAGGGTTGCTGGAGGGGAGGTGGGTGGGGGGATAGGTAACTGGGTGATGGGCATTAAAATGGAACGCACTTGATGTAATGCCCAGTGGGTGTTATATGCAACTGATGAATCACTAAAATTCTACCTCTGAAATTAATAATATATACTATATGTTAATTAAGTTGAATTGAAATTAAAAAATTAAAAAAAAAAGAAACTCTGGGAGGGGGCGCCTGGGTGGCTCAGGCGATTGAGTGTCCACCTTTTGGTTTTGGCTCAAGTCATGATCTCAGGGTCATGAGATTGAGTTCCATGTCGGGCTCTGCGCTCAGCGGGAAATCTACTTGAGATTCTCTCCCTTTGCCCCATCCTAGCTTGTGCTCAAGCTCACTCTCTCTCTCAAATAAATAAATAAATCTTAAAAAAAAAATTAAAAAATAAAGTCTGCGAGGTAAAATTGTTTCCTTCTTATCAAAAGAATACTGTTATAAACAAACAACAAAACCCTATTTTACATGCTAAACAGGTCTGTTCAGATGTAGCAGTTTTCACCTAGAATATTTTTAACTAAGTCACTTGAAGCATTAAACCTAATCAATCATAACTATTTTAGACAAAGGAGGCAGAAATACTATCTTTGCCACATTACCTTCACCTTTTGTTTTACAAGATTTAGCAATTTTCACGTGAGTATTTTTCCAAATTGATGAGTTAGAGAGACCCATTGTTAAATCTCTAAAACATACTGCAAACAATAAAAACACCATATGTGGTAATTATGATTCAAAACATTTCTCCATTCTAATTTAACAAAAATAATAAAATAGTAGGCATGCAAAAGGCTCTCCATCTCCCACCCCATCCTTATAGACAAACATTTAATTGTTTTTATATACCAGATACCTGAGACTGTAAGTCAACTGATTACATACATGAATAAAAAATTCCTCTCCCTTTGAATGGTCTTGCTAGAAAATTCTTGCAAGTATGAAACATCCTTATATTCCAAGAAGAAATGTACCTTTCTTCACTTATCCTGTTCTTAAGAGATGTAGAATATTAAAATGTATTTTGGAACTGCTTAGTTTACTAGTAAAATATTTACTATAGGGGAGAGGGTTCAACTTTAGACTCCTTCTGAATTTATTTCTATTATATTTCTTGTTAAATGTTATCCTGGCACGGAATTTTAACCACAATTTAGTTGGAAATGTGAAAAAGAAAAAAGAATGATTTAAACAGAGAACAGTCCAAAGTGTATTTTTAAGGATGGAGCAAGTACTTGAAGACAATTTAGCATCCTAAGATGTGGAGGATTGTGATTGCCAGTCCTACCTCAAAATATCCTACTGTGAGTCAGTTTGGCATTCAAGACTTTTTATGAGGTCTACTGTGGCCTCTACTGGAGTATTAAGCTGCTAATCATTAAGTTATTAGAAAAGGATCTGACTTTCTATCCCAAAAGGCTCATTTTTAGAGTTTAAATGCTGCCCGCTTCTAACAACAGCAATAGTAACAACACTAAAAACAGAATACCTGTGCACATCTAAGTTTTCACTGCACAGCTGACCTAAGTCCAACCAGAACAGTTTCAGAGGAGCGGGAAGAGAGGAGAACCAAAATATTCTGGTTGAACCTCAAACTCTTCCAAAGATTCATCTTACAAGGGCTAGGGTTTACTTTGTGTTTTCTTTTACTGACCAACGGGGCGGGGACAGCAATTGGGGAAAGAAGGATAGGAGGAAGAGGGTGGTAGAAATGAGGGGACCACAGAACATCGCCTTAACGTCAACAAAGAAACCTGGGCACAAATTAATCTCCACTTGGGTTGTTACAAAACCCACAGCATGCCATGCAGAAACTAGAAAGCTAAGTAAGGAGCACACATCCCTATGAGCAAATGTCCCCAGAGTTATTCTGTCACCTAGGTGTGTGTTTTGGTTTGGTTTGTGTGTATGTGTGTGTGTGTTTTGTTTGTTTTGTTGTTGTTTTGCGCTGGGTTCCTAAAACACCCGGGTTCAACAGCCTGCTGGAATCAGCAGCTGTCCGTGAAAGTGGTCCCAGAGAGCAAACCTGGCGCAACAGAGAAAGAGGAATGTGCTGAGCCAGGCGCGGCACCTGGCGCGTTCCCCAGTCCCACTCCAGGTCGCAAAGTGAAGAAACTTAGTCACAACTCCAGCGTGGCCCGGGAGGCAGAAGCTCCTTCTGAGATCGAGCCCGGGCCGCGGCTGCTCGGACTCCTCAACGCCCTAGCCCGCCGTCTCCCGAGCGAAAGCACAGTTGGGGTACTGCGTGCTTCGCCGTCCCGCAGCCTCAAGGGAGCTTGCCTGAGCACCCCGCTCCCTAGCCCCACGACCTTCTCTCTCGGGCCTCCAGCCAGGGTCCTGAGGGAAGGGGGGGGGGGTGGCTCCAGCCCTTGGCCACCACACTAACCTCGCCGCTGCTCGCGCCGCCTCCGAAAACCTCCATTTCTTGGTTCCAGAGCTCGTCCTGAGGAGAAAACGGTAGCATCGCCCCTTCAGGAGCACTTGAGCAGGAGCTGCCAACCACTGGCGCAGCCGCGCATCCCGTCGTTTGAGCTTGCCGGCCGCCGCCACCACCACCAGAACCCCCTAGTTATGAAGCCCCTCCTTCAGCGACCGCTGCCCTAGCTGCAGGGTGCCCTCAGAGGCTGTGAGCGGAGGATCGCCGCCGCGGGCAGCCGCTCCCCATAGACAGGAAAACTGTGCTGCCTCACGGAGAGCTCTACTCGGCTTGTGCTCACCACTGCCGCCACCGCGACTGTAGTTCGGCGTTGATTCTGTCCCCCACCCAGTTTCCTAGGGCCCCCTCCCAGTACCCAGCTCCGTCAATATGGCGGCAGCGGCGGCGTTACCTGTGCAGCGCCGGGAACAACCCCCCCCCCGCCCCCCGCCCCGGGCGGCAGCACAGTAGCGTCACCGGAACGTCAGTGGAGATTCCCCAGCCTAGGGTGAAGAGGGGGTGGGAACAAAGAGCGGGGGTGAATACCGAAGACCGCGTGGTTGGGGGTGGGTAAGAGAGGAGGAGGACGCGCTGGGCGAGGAGGCGGGAGAAGAGTAGTAAAGCCACTGGAGCGCCGCAGTAAACCTACCCACTACATGGAGCATGCGCGTCGCTGTTCACACATGCTCAGCAGGCCCTCCCAAGTCTACGAAGCCGGCTTGCAGGCGGGAGGATTCCCAAAATGAATGTGGGAAGCACTGGAGGAGCATTGGAGGAGTCAGTGTCAGGGGAGGACTCCAGGAATATCTGCTTGCAGGGCTCACAGAAGGCGGTGTCCTATACACCGAATCACACCCATTTTTTTATAGTGACGAATAGTGGAGCGGGGATTTTATACATTGGGCTTCTAGAAACTGGAGGCAGGAAGAAAATGCATTTAAAATAAACTAGTATACCTGCACTCCCTAACTCTTCCACCCCCTGTCCCTCTCAGCATTTCCATAGTATTGATGACATGCAGTGTTTCTAGTGTTCACACACACATGCACACAAATATGTCACTTATTGAACTCTACTTGTGGCATTGAAGGCAGAATGTACGAAGCTAATTTCACCCCTACCTTGCTCTGAAGGTATTAGACCTGTAGTGAAATAATCATTTTTCTATCTTCTTCCAATGGAACGTTTACTGCTTTGCTACTCTGAGCCACACACTGTACTAGGAGCTAGCGATATAACTAAGATAAATAAAGTGCAGTCTCATACACGGGGGATGATCAAGATCTTTACTGAAACACTTCAGAACCCATGGTAAAAAAGTGATTCCACCTTTGACACTTCAAGGAGACTTAAAATAGCAAAGGTAACAGCGACAAGGCGGCTCAGTACCTTGGAGAGGTTTCTAATGGTCAATGTAAAACGCAAGCACCCTTTCCCCACTGCTACACCTAGGGCTGCTGTGTTGTGCTCGAGGAAAACACTGAACTATGCCCTCCATTTATTTCACCATCTGGCGTCCAGCACTATGTAAGTAAAAAGCAGACCACAGAGGTTGGCACTGAATAGCAAACAAGGATCACTAAAGGCGCCCTCCCACCCACACTGCTTAAAATCCCAGGGAAAAGAGTAAGCTTTACAAATATGATTCTGTAAAAGTGAAAACTTTCAAAGTAGTGGGTGCATGGAGCTATAAACAGTGAAAATGTGCATGTGCACACACTTGCATAAATTCCTGTTTGGCTGAACTGGCAGTGTTCTTAAATAAGGCCCACCATTTTGAGCACTGGATCTCATCCTTTCTTGCCACTCAAAGGCTTTGTTCTGCAATTCTCCATCACCAACCCCTTAGCATCATATATTTTTGTCCCTCTACTGGACCTTTCCCATCAGCAAAAATGTATTGTTGTTACTGACCTTAACTTGCTGAACTACTCACTAACATTTGATGCAGTTTATGACTCCTTTATTTTTTTTTTTTAATGACTCCCTCCTTATTTAAACATTTTCTTCACTTGGCCTCCAGAACAAAACTGTTCATTTTCCTCCTACATCACTGGCCATTTCTTCTCAGTGCCCTTTGCTGGACAATCCCTCATTTTCCCAGTATCTAGAAGTAGAAACTTCAGGGTTCCATTCTCCATCTATCTTTCCCAACAGCCTAGGTATTTCCATAACCCACCCATTTCCATGGCTTAAAATATCATCTCTATGCTGAGAACTTTCAAATTTTATCTCTAACCACAAACTCTTGAAGTCAAGACTTGTACATGCAACTGTCTATTTTACTTAGATCTAATAGGTATCTCAAACTTAATCTATTCAAAACTGAATTCTTGATTCAACCTCAACCAATGTGCTCCTTGCCTGGACTTCTCCAGGCAGTTAATGACCTCCACCATCCACCTAGTTTGCTGCTCAAATGTCACTTCAGAGTGCTTCTATGACTGTCCTTTCTACAGCGCAATCCCCATAACTCTCTAACCACCCCCTGCCTTTTCTTCATAACAGCAATCAACATAGGGTCTATATTTGTTTATTTTTTCCTATGAGCACCAAATATACTGCCTGGAACATAATGGAGCTCAGTAAATATTTACTGAACAAATTAGTGTGTCCTTTGCTATTATTGTTTTGTGCATTTGATAAATACATCACATCAACGATATCAAGAAGCTTCCTCACTATGAATGTATTTCCTTTTTTTTCTTTTTCCAAATTTTTATTTAGATTCCAGTTAGTTAACATAAAGTGTAATATTAGTTTCAGGTGTAGAATTTAGTGATTCAACACTTCATACAACACCCAGTGCTCATCACAGCCAGTGCCCTGCTTAATACCCATCTCCTATTTAAGCCATCCCCTCTTTCAGGAACCCTCCATTTGTTCTCTATAGTTAAGAGTCTCTTCTTGGTTTGCCTCTTTTCCCCCCCATGTTCATTTGTTTTTTAAATTCCACATATGAGTGAAATCGTATGGTATTTGTTTTTCTCTGACTGACTTTTTTCACTTAGCATAATACTCTCTAGCTTCATCCACGTTGTGGCAAATGGCAAGATTTCATTCTTTTTATGACTAAGTAATATTCCACTATGAATGTATTGGGTTTCTGTGTTAAATTTAGCCTTCATATATGTTCATTCATTCAACATTCCTCTTAGCTTATAAACATACATACATCTCTCTCATTTAAAAAAATCAAAACCCTTTCCTCAACTCAAGGATTTTAATAAATTCCTGTTTCTCAGTTCTTTCAGTTAACATGTCCCATTATGTCTACCTCAAATATTTTTTTTATTTTTTTAAAGATTTATATTTATTTATTTGAGAGAGACAGAATGAGAGAGAGAGAGCACATGAGAGGGGGGAGGGTCAGAGGGAGAAGCAGACTCCCTGCCGAGCAGGGAGCCTGATGCGGGACTCAATCCAGGGACTCCAGGGTCATGACCTGAGCTGAAGGCAGTCACTTAACCAACTGAGCCACTCAGGTGCCCTCAAATATTTTTTTTAAATATCTGCTCCATCCTCCATTGTCATTGCCTCAGTTCACCTCATAGAATATGTCCTTGAACTAGTGATACTAATGATTCCTCTTATCTTGTCTTTCTGACTCTAAATTTATACTCTTTCTCCAATCCATCCTCTTCACTGGCAGCCCAGGAATCAAAATTCCTCAATGATACTCCATCATCTCTAGTAAAATATCCACACTTGTTATCTCTGAATGCAAATGTTCTCACCAACTGGCCTCTGACTATCTTTCCAGCTTCATCTACCATCGCAAATTCCAGTCAGATCTATGCACATCTTATTGTATCTTCCCTATCTTAGTTTTCCTAAACAACTTACTTTTAATAGCAGTCAATACTAACAACTACTATTTACTGAGAGCCCACTATGCTCCAAGCATATGCTCTTCATGAATTCATTTAGCCCTTATAACAATTTGTAAAAATTTGTATTATTTGTATTTTACAGATGAGGAAACTGAGCCTGGAAAAGATTCAGTGATTTTACCAAGACCTCACAGACATTAAATGGAAATTCTAGAATTAAAACTACATCTGTCTGATGCCAAAACTTCTACCCCACTCTGTTGCTCTGTGAAACACCTCTGATATTACCTTCCCCTCTCCATACCCTCCTTACATTCATCCCTGGGGAAAATTAGTCACCCATTCCTCTTTACTTCCATAAAATCTTTTCCATATCCTTATTTCAACACTTCTTTAATTTTCTTTACTAACAAACTTTGAGAATTTGATGTTAGTGAATTAACCTATTAAGCTCTGTACTCACAGGATATGTCTGGTGCTCAATACATTGGACGGACAAACAATATTTTTCTGCTCTAGCCAGACACTGTGTTAAAGCTGTGGGCTAATATAAAAATGTATGACAGTACTTAACTCTGCAGAGTTCAATGCTTATTTGCTCTATTTTGATTTCTTATGCCAAAGACATAGTGTCTGATTTTAAGTTACTAGTAACCAGGACCTATTATATACAATTTTGACTAGCTCAGAGGTCCTTAGCTTCTTGGTGAAAAACATGATGACTTTATTTAGCACAAAGGCAGGTATTAAGGAAGACTCAAGCTTCAGTCTTCTGCAAAGTATACATAGCAGAGATTCTTGCTTTCTCTTTAGTCTTCAGGAAATGTTTAGCCTGAAATTTTCTGTATGCCTATGTATCTCTAGATTTCCAATTATTGGAGCATAACATTAGAAGTTTACACAATATTTAGTAATATTTCGGTGACTCTGGAACTGGGATGTACTATATCTAGTCTCTAAATAATATATTGTTCATCACAAAAAGGTAATGAGATAGGCTCCAGCATTAGATCATGTGTTCTGAGTATTTTCAGGGCTAAGGAAAAGGTATACTTAAACATTCAAAGTGACTTATTTACCCTGTGATAAATGACACACATTGGATTACCAGGGTCAAAGGTGAAAATAAGTGGTCATGTAATTTAACTGAATAAAGTTAACTGACCCATATAGAGATAAATCTTTCTTGGCCCCAATAAAGAGGTGTAAAATATAAACTAAGGGCCTTTGATCAACAGATCACAGACCACCCAAGATTCTACACTATGGTTCTGATTTCTAAACTGTAGTATTTACAATTAATGCATATTTGGTCTATAATTATAGAAAGAGCCACTTAGTCACTCAGTATTCTATGCTTATTTCCCCAAAGTTTGTAACCCAAATAGCTGGAAAATGGTGAGCCAACATAGAACATAAAAGCATTATTAGGAAAATATTCAAACATTTCATTTTGAAGATATTCAGACATAAATTATAAAAGTAGATTCATGTACACAAACAGAGAAGTTTTAAGTGTTTAATAAATACTTATAATCTTTAGATAATTCCTTGGGAGTGCCAGAGAACTTTCATTCTCT